GGGTGTGGGAGGGACGCACACGGGACGGTGAGGGTGGGAGGGGACACCCGCCTAGCCGGCTAGATCAGCGGAATCAACCCTGGCCATCAATGGGGTGACAGATGTTGCAGGCAGATCACCCTCGCGTCAATACTTATGTACTAATCACAACATTCCATTCATTTATCAAGCCATGAACTAAGGTTTTCCTATGGGGGGAAATAAAGATTAATCTCATCCCTTCTTGTATGAGTCACATAATACACTTTTACCGAAACTTCATTCCTGAATCTCTAGCAGACCGAGCAGAACAGTGGAATTCTGTAGCACCAGAACCCTCAAGGATTCTTTGTAGATTTCTGTCTGTTATGCCACCCCCTGTTGGAAAAAATAAGTAATACATTAAAGTAGAATAGAACTTTGCATAAAATTTAATAAATAATAAATTTCCATACTGAAGTTTCTCATTAACTCAAGAATTATTCTCTCTCTCCTAAGCTAGAATAAAGTTAGAAAAGAATGATGAAATACAAACTACAGATTTTGAAGAACAACCGAAAAGGTCACAGAACCTATGATGGAATCTGCTATATCCATTGGTTTATATAACAATGTTATATGTTACAGACTTTAAATCTAAAGAGATTATTCTGCCCTAACCGGTCTGGCTCAGTGGATAGAGCGTCAGCCTGCGGACTCAAGGGTCCCAGGTTCGATTCCGGTCAAGGGCATGTACCTGGGTTGCAGGCACATCCCCAGTGGGGAGTGTGCAGGAGGCAGCTGATCGATGTTTCTAACTCTATCCCTCTCCCTTCCTCTCTGTAAAAAATCAATAAAATATATATTTTTTTAAAAATAAAGAGATTATTCTAGGGCAAGGAAAATCATCGAGCGCTCTATCCCTGCTCTCCCTCAATTAAAGAAAAATCAAATTAAAACCAAAGGAGGCCAGGCTAGAGGACAAAGCTACAAAAGCACAGCCTTAGAAATGTCTCTGAAATGGAGCCGCCAAGATTTTCTCTCTGGATCAGCATTCAAAGACCACGATGTCAGTGGAAACGGGAACAATGACGGGTATTATACAGTTTATTCATTATATGAAATTCTCGTTTCATTTCACAGAAGAATCTGAATCTACTTTATAAAAACTGCACAGTCAAGTACTTCATGATGACTCATTTGTTTTGATGAACAATATCTAAAAGCTTGTATAGAAAGAATCATATTCTCAACTGATTCCAGATTATAAATATAAAGTTATTGATCTTTATATCCTTGTCTCCTAATATACAGGAGTATTAAATAAATATTTTTAATGACTGATAAAATATGTACTTTGTATCTCAAGTTGCTGAAGTAACTTGACTTTACACACTCTTTTGGACTCATTAACTTTTTTTTTCTTAGAGGCACAGTAACATCACTGAGCCCTAAGACGTAAAAAGAATACAGACTGAGAAGTTAGATTTGGATTGGAATTCTGGCTTCACCACTGTAACTCCTCACAGCTATGTGACCTTAGATAAATTACTTTAAACCATTGAGCCTCAACTTTTTTTTTTTTTAAATATATTTCATTGAACTTTCACAGAGAGGAAGGGAGAGAGACAGAGAGCCAGAAACATCGATGAGAGAGAAACATCGATCAGCTGCCTCCTGCACATCCCCCACTGGGGATGTGCCCGCAACCCAGGTACATGCCCTTGACCGGAATCGAACCTGGGACCTTTCAGTCCGCAGGCCAACGCTCTATCCACTGAGCCAAACCGGTTTCGGCCGAGCCTCAACTTTTTTAACCAAAAGAGGGGTTTCCTCAGAGCTTGTTATAAGGATTAAAAGGCAAATATGTTATTTCCTTCTAACACATAACAAGATGTCTGGCTACTGAACCTATGTTGTTCCAGTTATCAGCAGCTTTAGGACACAGGTAATATATTTTCGAAACACAGAGTAATACATCTTTAGAGTTGGAACCAAAGAGGACAATTAGTTCAATATCCTCTCTTTACAGGTGAGGAAATGAACCCAATTATGTTGTAAGCTTCATTATGAAAATCCCTAAAGGGAAACCACTATGTTCTATTTATCTTTAGATTTCTCCATGATCAGGAGCACATGATTCAACTGTGCTGACTACATGGAAGAATATTCATTAGACATTCAGTTTGACTTATCTAGGAATTTTTCCTTGTTGGTACTTATTTTCATGAAATTTTAATAATTTCTTTATAGATCTATTCTGTGAGCTCGAGTAAAATGATTACTTCATATTCATTTCTGTCTTTCATATCCACCACAAAACTTAGCATATAATTATCACTTGCTTGGTAAGGTTTGTTAAATAACCACAAATATTTTTGTATACAACATCTTCTCACCTCAAGGGTAAGCCTTTTGAGGAAGTAGTTCCTTGTGTAACTCTGCATGCCTTGCACATAGTAGATAACTTCAAAATTATATAATAAGCAAAGGCAACCTTAATATTAACAATTATCTAAGCCCGGCTATTAACTGTCAAGACTAAATACATTTTGTTTTAAATGGAAATGCATTAAAAACAGTTAAGTGTCTTTAATAAAGGTCTCAATTTGACAGATAACATATGCTTTCTGTCTGTTCACATTTCAGGGACTTGCTACTGATCAAAACTTTCCTTACTTTCTGATGCTATCCCTTTATCTGGCCTCTTTTTAAAAGTTGACCTTTAGCCGAAACCGGTTTGGCTCAATGGATAGAGCGTCGGCCTGCGGACTGAGGGGTCCCAGGTTCGATTCCGGTCAGGGGCACGGTCCTGGGTTGCGGACACATCCCCAGGAGGGGGTGTGCAGGAGGCAGCTGATCGATGTTTCTCTCTCATCGATGTTTCTAACTCTCTATCTCTCTCTCCCTTCTCTCTGTAAAAATCAATAAAATATATTAAAAAAAAATAAAAAAAATAAAAGTTGACCTTTAGTTGGCTATCACCATTTTGACCCCTAGTTAGTCTTGGCATCACTGGTAGTGAGACAACCAGACACCCTATGCCTTCTGATGTGATATAATATGATATATACAGACTCACCCACAAAGTACTCTTACAAAAATATTTAAACAAAATCTAATCAAGCCTTATGATCTAGCTACCAGTTTATAGGCAGTGCAGTGGCTAGGAAATACACACTAAACAATATCAAAAGGAAGCAATTTAATAAATCCAGAAAGTAGGACATTTTACAGGTAAGTGGCCCAAACTGTTTAAATTTCATTTTTTAAAAATATATTTTATTGATTTTTTACAGAGAAGAAGGGAGAGGGATAGTTAGAAACATCGATGAGACAGAGAAACATCGATCAGCTGCCTCCTGCACACCTCCCACTGGGGATGTGCCCGCAACCAAGGTACATGCCCTTGATTGAACCCGGGACCCTTCAGTCCGCAGGCCGATGCTCTATCCACTGAGCCAAACCGGTTAGGGCTTAAATTTCATTTTTTTAAAAGACAAGAAAAACTTCTATATTAAAAAAATATTAAGATAACAACCAAGTGCAATACTTATTCTTTGATGGGATCCTGATTTGAACATATCAGCTATAAAAAAACATTCTGGGGGCAACTAGAGAAAAGAGGGTATTGATTATTAAATGGCATTAAAGAATTAGAGTTTATTTTGATAAATATAATAATGGTATTGTGATTACAGTAAAATGCCCTTATTTTTTAAAGATGCATAAAGATAAAATGTCGGGATGCCTTTAATTGAACTTTAAAATACCTCAGGATAAGAAGAAACAAATGTTACAAAATGTTAAATCTATAAAATGAGTATATGCCTTTTTCTACTCTTTTATATGTTTGAGAAATTTAATAATAATAAAAATTAAGATAATATTTATATTTGTCTCCCTCTGCTTCTAGGTCACCTTATCCAATTCTTTAAAAATTATTCATTTCTAATGATCTGTAATGTACTTAATTGATCTTATAGTTATCATCAGGAGCACATGATCCAACTGTGCTGACTACAGGGAAGAATTTGGTGATCAGATTTTCAGGAACTGAGTATTACATCTATCCAGGGATATTATGTTTGCTTATACTTTGTTAACAACTTGGACATTTGGCCCTAACACAGAGTAGCAGCAAATCTGGTGTGCCTCACTAGAGATAAACATCTTCACTCATAACATTCTACTCTATAGGAGCACAAACATGGGGAAAGCCCAAGTCTAATCTACTTCCTTTTTTTGCTCTTCTCTGAGCTTATCTCTGCTAAAATGTTCTCTTCCTTCTACAGTTTTAAATTCCAGCAGAGATCTGCCATCTTAAACAATTTAATCAAATGCTATATTCTTTCTGAACATCAGGCACTAAAACTTTCCCCCATACTGCCTGCCTCCTTTGCTCTTCCTTCATCAGAGTTCAGTGTTATACTAGTGAGTGGATAGATAGATAAATACCTGGCATTACCACAATCCTGCCTTTTGCCTGAAAAAAGAAAAAAAAATAAACAAGTAAATTTTAATATTTTTCTCTAAATGAGATAGTAAGGCAGTGAGAACAGAAACATAAGTATATTAAACTTTAGAAATTACTATTAATGTTTACTTTTCAGTAGATCTTTTGTTTCTCTGGGACCTTAGGTAAGTAAGATGTTCAGCAAAGTAACTCTTTCTATCCAGTTATTTATTGTATTACTTTAAAAACCTGCACTGTTATGAACACAAAGAATAGAAGGCTACAATATAAATACAGAATAATCACACCACTTTAAGAAAAGTCATTACTGAAAGATAACACTAATCTGAGCTTTGGTAGATGATGGGATGGAAGTACGGGGGGTGCAGGAGACAGCCTATCCGTCTTTCACTCTCACATAAATGTTTCTCTCTCTCCCTCTCCCTCTTGCTCTAAAAAGCAATTAAAATTTTTTTGTTGTCGTTTGATTTTAAAGTGTCTCTCCTCTCCCCTGACATGGTGAACAAGAGCAAGTTCCTACTCTCATGGAGTTTACATGTTCAAGGAAGACAGGTATATTTATTTAATAAAATTTCAGGTAGCAATAAGTACAATGGGAAAAAAATTAAGCAAGGTAATAAAGAGTAAAAGGGAGGGGATACTTCATAAAATGTAATAACTGTTAGAGAAATAAGTGGAACAAGACTGTTTAGCATTCTCAAATGTACTGAAGGAAGCTTCTATAAAACAAAATATTATCTAGAAAGGTGAAATGATTTTAAGAAGAAAAAAAGTATTACTTAACTGTTTCTTCTAAGTGAAAACTTTCTAAGACAGAAAAATGATACTTTTAAGAGATTAATCCTATCACTTTTTTTGGATTATTTATAGCTATATGCTCGCTTAAGGTTATAAAGTGATTTAACAATATAAAGTCGACTTTTTGTTATCTGAAGTAATCCACAACTATTCTAGGAGGTAGGTGCCACTATTATGCTAACTTTGTAGTGGAGGGAACTGAAGTTTATGATGTTAGGGCAAGGTCACTACAAATAAGAGGCAGGGCCAGGATTTAAACACAGACCTTTCTAGCCCCAAGGCCTAGGCAGGCTTTAACCAGCACATGTATAATATACCTTGAAGGTAATTGCCTCAAGAAGTTAGCATGATCCCACTTACACATGAAATCTGAAAAGGTCGAATACATAGAAGCGGAGAGTAGAATGGTAGATACTAGGGGCAGGGAGCTGGAGGAAATAGGGAGATGTTGGTCGAAATGAATAAAAATTATTCATTTCTAATGATCTGTAATGTACTTAATTGATCTTATAGTCGTGTGCTCCTGATGATAACTATAAGATCAATTAAGTACATTACAGATCATTAGAAATGAATAATTTTTAAAGAATTGGATAAGGTGACCTAGAAGCAGAGGGAGACAAATATAAACCAACAGAGTTGCAGTTATGAGGATGAGTAAGTCTGGAGATCTAATGTACAGCATTGTGGGGGTTCAGAACAAGCCATTCCAAGATGTGACTCAGTAGCATGCTGATTAATTTGAGCTTTACTTTGAAGTTTAGCAGCAGGTCTAAGAGAACTTCTGCCTCTCCCTCCCCTCTAACTAATTAGAAGAACATAGAGATCTTGCCCATAATAAGCCATTATTAGAGATAACTTTTTTTGACCTATCCATAGGGTAGGGCAAACTTCAATTTACTAAACCTCTGTTCTTATCATCCTGCAATGACCTTTGGAAGCCCTCATCATGCATCCCTAACTTAGGATGTCCTATATACTCATGCTCCCTTTCTTCCTCTGAACTTATGGGGTTCCCATACATATGTATGTATTAAATTTGATTATTTTCTCTTGTTAATCTGTCTCATATTTATATGATTACTAGACCAGTCAGAAGAACCTTGAGGGTAGAGAAGAGTTTGTTTCTCCCTCACAATATTATAACTACAGTTAATAATGCTGTATTTAAAATTTGCTAAGAGTAGATTTCAGGTGCTCTCACCACACACACACACACACACACACACACACACACACATACACACACACACACACAAGCACATCACTTGGTCATGACCATAATACAAATGCCCTGTACTTACTATACACTTAATAAATATTTGTAAAATCAGTAAGTTCCAGACTAGCAAAGTCACATCAGATTCTTATGTGAAATTCCTAAAAATTATTTTCATGACGCTGAAACCGGTTTGGCTCAGTGGATAGAGCGTCGGCCTGCGGACTGAGGGGTCCCAGGTTCGATTCCGGTCAAGGGCATGTACGTGGGTTGCGGGCACATCTCCTTCTGGGTTACCAGTAGGAGATGTGCAGGAGGCAGCTGATCGATGTTCCTCTCTCATCGATGTTTCTAGCTCTCTATCTCTCTCCCTTCCTCTCTGTAAAAAATCAATAAAATATATTTTAAAAAAAATTATTTTCATGACATACAAAAGATGTCTACCCAGGAACACTAAATATTATTATTAAAAATAGCAGTAGTAATAATAATAGAAACTAACATGTATTAAGGGGTATTATATGCCAAGCGCTGTGCTAAAGCTCTTAGATATCTTATCTCTACCAACCTTCAGAGCAATCCTATAAAAGGAGTATTAAACTTATCTCAACTTCACAATGGAGAAAACAGAGGTTTAAAGGTTAGTGATCTACACCACATTACACAGCAAATAACTCTCAAACCTAAGTCTCAAATCCAGAACACTTTCTTCTCAAAGTCCATACTCACTAATTAGAATGCTTCTATACTGATGTCAGAAAAATACAGGCATCCCCCAATTATAAAGCCACCTTCTGACTGCTCTACAAATGATGCTAATTAATGCACAAGGGCATACAAGAGAAAAATATTGTATTTCCTCCTATCCTATATAACAGTGGTTCTCAACCTTCCTAATACTGCGACCCTTTCATACAGTTCCTCATATTGTCGTGACCCTCAACCATAAAATTATTTTCGTTGCTACGTGATAACTGTAATTTTGCTACTGTTATGAATCGTAATGTAAATATCTGATATGCAGGATGTATTTTCATAGTTACAAATTGAACATAATTAAAGCATAGTGATTAATCACAAAAACAATATGTAATTATATGTGTGTTTTCCAATGGTCTTAGGCGACCCCCATGAAAGGGTTGTTTGACCCCCAAAGGGGTCGCGACCCAAGGTTGAGAACCGCTGCCATGTAATAAAAGGCTAATATGCAAATCGACCAAACTGCGGAATGACCTGTCGCTATGACACACACTGACCACCAGGGGGAAGATGCTCGATGCAGGAGCTGCCCCCTGGTGGCCAGTGCGCTCCCACAGGGGGAGCACCGCTCAGCCAGAAGTCGGGCTCATGGCTGGCGAGTGCAGCCGCAGTGGCAGGAGCCTCTCCTGCCCCTGCAGCAGAGCTAAGGATGTTTGACTGCAGGTTTAAGGGGAGCAGGCCTAAGTGGGCAGTCAGACATCCCCTGAGGGCTCCCAGACTGTGAGAGGACCCCCACCAAGTGCACGAATCTCATGCATTGGGCCTCTACTCTTGATATAAAGAAAGTAATGAGAGAAGAATATAGTTTTAGTTTTAGAATTCACCTAAAATGATAATTACCTCAAATTTTATATGGGATCCCCTGAGAATACATAAACAATCATTGAGAAGATATGGCTTAAAATATGCAATGCTGATGGCAGAGAAAAAGTAAAATTTGCTCTGGTTACCCAAATTAGGAAAGATCCTTAGGCATTGTCTATAATCTGATTTTAAGAGCCTTGATTACTAAAAGAGCTCATGTGAAAGAAGTAAGAATTATATAAATCTATTATTGCATGCTTGTTATTTTCCTATAGAGTAAACTTGAAGTCAGTAATATTTAGTTTCACAACCCATCTGAACAGCAGAATATCGGAAGAACCACAACAGTCTCAGGAAGAAAAGAAATTGCATGTACCTGATCTATGAGTCGCTTTATTAGAGGCAGCCCTTCTAGCGCTGAACTGTCACAGCCACTGGTCAATACGCGCTCAAATCCCAAGGTTAACAGAGTCTCTAGCGCTGCCACTGGGTCGTGAACCATGTCAAAGGCTGAAATAAATAAAATTGATTTGAATTGTGAACAGGTATCAGTAACACAGTGATGATTAAAATGTAGTATACTAGTATACACAGTGCTATGCTGGACCTGGCTGGTACTGGCTTGCAGGAGTCCATCGTTAAATATTCAGAAATTTTATAAACATGATTGTTAATCCATTGGCAGCTTGAAATCACTTAAGGTGGGAGTATTTTTTTAAATCCTCACCCGAGTTTATGCTATTATCGATTTTAGAGAGAGAAACATCAATTGGTTCCCTCCTGTACGACCTGCAACCTGGGTATATGCCCTGACTGGGAACTGAACCCTAGACCTTTTGATATACAGGATGATGCTTCAGCAAACTGAGCCACACTGGCCAGAGCAAGGGGGGAGTATTTAAACCACAGAAATCAACAAATACTACATATCAGGGTTTTCCCCCAAGAGCCAGTTTACCAGCCACCACAGTCTGCATACAGCTGATGGAATGCACGATCATTTAGGTGGTACACGTCTGAATAGATGCATTTACTTAAATGCAGATCAGAGTGAAAATTTTCCATTTCTCATTACTTAAAAAAATTTCTCTTTAAAATAAATTTATTTAGGATTTATTTTAAGAAAATTATTAAATAAATTTGCACAGGAAGCAATCAGGTATAGTAAAATTATAAATGTGATAGGCAAATGACTCAAACTTGGGAAAGTCTGCCTGAGGCTTCAGACAAACTGAATAAGTAGGATGAAACATTACTCACCTGTTCTAAAAAAGACCTTGGTTCACATTCTCGTTATTGACTGATAGCTTGTACTAATCTATTTACCCTGCATACCCCAGGCTCACTGTACAAAGACAGTTGTTTACAACGGATTGCATGAGGTTTCTTTCCCATCTTACTTTCTAAAAGGCATCTCTCCTCCTCCAAGAGTAAAGTGGCACTAGAAACCTCAAACAGAAAAATTACTTGTGCTTTGGTTTTCAGCATCGCTATATGATATGGAAGTTCTAATATATGAGGAATTAGGTGCTAGGACCCTTCCTTTCATCATTAAGTGCATGGAGGCAGCTAAATCTACTATTTTCCTTTTTTGGTGGCAGCATCTTCTCATCAGTGATTACACTATCATACTATCTCATTAAACACATGAGTGAAAAAAATGTGGAACCCAAGCCCATATAAAAATTTGAGAATATGAAAATGTTTTTTAAATTTATTGAATAGTTTAATAAATTTATATAAAATAGGTTAGTATAAGTGCCTGCAGGTATGACTAAAAAGTCATTTTTGTGATATAAAGGAAAAGAACAGAAATTTGAAATGATTTTTTAAAAAAAAATAGAGAATTGTATTTATTTTAAAAAAATATATTTTAATTGATTTCAGAGAGGAAGGGAGAGGGAGAGAGAGAGAGAGAGACATCAATGATGAGAGAGAATCATTGATCGGCTTACTGGGGGATCGAGCCTGAAACTTGGCATGTGCCCTTGACCAGAACTGAACCCAGGACCCTTCAGTCCACAGCTTAATGCTCTATCCACTAAGCAAAACTGGCCAGGGCTGAAATGATTTTCTTAGTTTAAGAACAAAAAGATATATTCAATATGATGGGTTTATTTTGAATTATTTACAATATCAAATTTTAAACTATAGCCGAAACCGGTTTGGCTGAGTGGATAGAGCGTCGGCCTGAGGACTGAAAGGTCCCAGGTTCGATTCTGGTCAAGGGCATGTACCTTGGTTGTGGGCACATGCCCAGTAGGAGATGTGCAGGAGGTAGCTGATCGATGTTTCTCTCTCATCGATGTTCCTAACTCTCTATCTCTCTCTCCCTTCCTCTCTGTAAAAAAATCAATAAAATATATTAAAAAAAAATTTTTAAACTATGTTTTTCAGGTAAATGTTTACTAATTAAAATTACTTGCCATATTCAAACACTTTTTTTTAACTAGCCTCAAGGTTCTGATTTTTAAGCAACCTAACATCTTTTAGTTATTGTTAGTTAATGAAAAGCACTGCTAAATAGCATGTCAAAAAAAGTTTTGTGGTGGTATTACCCATTTAAAGAAAAACAAGGTAATAATTGCTTTATTTCTAGTTTATATAAATGGATGCAAGTGCTGGTATCTACTCTTATCCTAATCTCTGAATGCCTACAAAAGGTCAGAAAAACATTCAACAATTTCTCAAACATGCTACCAAGTCAAAAAAAGATTGACTGAAGACCTCCTTCTTTCCTTGTACAATAGCAGCGCCCTCTGAAGGCAAAATGAAATGTTCCTTCATTTTACCAATGTTTAGAAAAGTGTATAGAAATTATAACTCTGATTCATAGGCAGGAAATACTTTTATATGAAATTAGATACACTTTAGAAATTATTCTGATGTAGATATAGATAAGTTATCAATACTGTAAAGCAATTTTGTGCACTGTAGTGAACATCTATCTGTTCACTGACAATCCAGCATCTATTTCTTCTTTCCTCCTTCCTAACAGAATCCAGTTCTTTTTCATATATCCACCCCCTCTCTGCCCATGAATCAAATGTTCTCCTAGGGAAGCTGACCTCACTCCTAGATACAGAAATAAGTCTTGTCAACTTTAACAAGCAGTAAATTTCATTTCACTGGTCACAGTAATTTATTCTTTTGGGGGTTGCATAAGACCTAAGGCAACCTAATAAAAATGAATCTCAGGATTGTTGCTTAGAATGCTGTAACAAGTATATGTACTCATAAGCAATGCTTATTCTCTCCCTCTATTATAGTCCCCCACCATCTATATATACATATGTGTGTGTGTATATGTAAATAGATTAATTTCAGAGAGGAGGAGAGAGGGAGAGAGATAGAAACATCAATAATGAGAGAGAATCATTGATTAGCTGCTTCCTGCACAATCCCAAGTGGGGATCGAGCCCACAATGCAGGCGTGTACTCTTGACCAGAACTGAACCTGGGACTCTTCATTCTGCAGTTTGATGCTGTATCCGCTAAGCCAAACCAGCTAGGGGGCCCCACCATCTATTTTTCTTCACCACTATCTATTTTTAACAACTTTTCAAAACTAAGGCTTTATATATTCTAGAAACTGCATTTCTAAATTGACAACTGTTAGTCCCAAGATCAGTATAAAGAAACCAATTGGGCCCTGGCTGGTGTGGCTCAGTTGGTTGAGAGTCATCCGCTGAGCACCGAAAGGTTGCAGGTTCAATTCCTGGTCAGGGCACATAGCCAGGTTGCTGGTTTGATCCCCAGTAGGAGTGGGTGTGGGAGGCAGCTGATTGTTGTTTCTCTCTCACATTGATGTTTCCCTCCCCTCTCACTTACACTCTCTCTAAAATAAAAAAGAAGAAGAAAAAGCCAATTGGTAACACTGTAACACTATGGAATTGTGTTCCAAACAAAGCTTGTGGCTTTGGTGAAATTAGAAAGCTGACACTATCCAACAGAATTTCTAAAACGGAAATGACTCACCTCGGTGGAAAGTGACGGGCAGAGGACGGCACAGAGCTATAACAGGAAGTCACAGAACAACATGAGTGCTGAGGTCATCACTGATCACTATATACAGAGTTCCCCCTGTTAGATGGGACTTTTATGTATCTTCCTCTCCTAAGTGAACTGAAATAATAATAAAATGGCAGCCTTTCAAGTTCAAAAGTCCTATGTTTCCATTAATCTCTGATTTTTATATTTAAAAAATGATCATATACTTCTCAGGGGCACTAAATAAAAATGATATAATCTAGCTACTATAAGGGCAGCATTATATCCTCTGAGGATCTTCAAGAATACTTGGCCTAGTAACATAGATAGTTTACTTCTGTCCTCTCCACATTTCCCCATCCTCACCAAATGCAAAAGCTTTTGTGGTTTTTGGTGCAATAACTGAAAGAATCAAGGTAAACTTTCCTTCAATTCTTCAGGAACGTGGCAAAACCTGATCTATAGAAAAGAGTCAGGGAGACTATGCCACACATACCCCCCGGCACAAACATCTAAAAAAACGACTATTTATTATAGTTTATACTAACTTATACTAGTGCCTGAAAAGTCAGCTCTGTGATTGTGCTTTTCTATATTGGAAATATTAAAATGCAAGCATCATTAGAGGCTTTTTGGTCTCAGATATAAATTCTTACCCACAAGCGACGTGCACAGCTCTTTGTCAATGTGTCCATCTTCAGTCAATGCCCCAAATACCAAACCATCAGCACCATAAAGCTTGGCAAGACGAATGTCAGCCTTCATCACCTCAACTTCACGATCTGAATATAAAAAATCACCTCCGCGTGGCCGAATCATCACAAAAACTGGGATCTGGACACATTGCTTCACTACTTGAAGGACACCTGTAAGAACAGGAATCAGACTAATTAAAATACAAATATGAGCTAGAAGCTCAAGGAAGTCAATAAAATATTATTGGTCTTGCGCTGGCCAGTTTGGCTCAGTAGATAGAGTGTCAGCCGGAGGACTCAAGGGTCCCAGGTTCGATTCCGGTCAGGGGCACATGCCCGGGTTGTGGGCTTGATCCCTAGTAGGGGCATGCAGGAGGCAGCCGATCAATGATTCCCTCTCATCACTGATGTCTCCATCTCTCTCTTCCTTTCCCTTCCTCTCTGAAATCAATAAAAATATATTTTAAAAATATTTTGGTCTTTTATATATATACTCTTATGATAGTATCACTTCTATAAGAAAAGGAAGAGTTGACTGAGGAGACCAGAGAAAAGTGGACCTAAAAGGAAAGAGGATACTGAGAAGAAAAAAATAGCCCCAGAAGTTAAGTAATAAGAAAATCAAAGATAAAAGAGAACAAGTTAGAAAACAGAAGGAAGTTACTGCATTTTAAAAGCTCTTGTCAGTTCCCAGAACCAGGAGGTTGAAGTTCGATCCCTAGCCAGGGCACATCAGGGTGGCAGACTCGATCCCCAGTAGGGGGCATGCAGGAGGCTGCCGATCAGTGATTCTCATCATTGATTTTTCTATCTCTCTCTCCCTCTCTTTCCTCTCTCTGAAATCAATAAAAATATATATATTTTAAATTATCAGGCAGGAAAACAAGATGCATCATGTGGCAATAAAATCAATCCAACAAAACCAACCTAGAACTCATACAGATGGCAGAATTAGCAGTCAAGTCATTAAAATAGCTATTTTTACTTTATTCTATTCAAAATGTTAAGAAGCTGCATGGGAGATATTATAGACTCAAACTCTAGAGATGAAAACTAAAATGTGTAAGATGAAAAACACAGTAGGTGGGATTAACAGTGATGAGACATTGCAGAGAAAAGTTTAGTAAACTTGAAAATAAAGCAACAGGATCTATACAAAATGAAACAGAGAGAAAAAGAAGACAAAAGAGAAAAAGAAGACATCAGTGAATTATAGAATAAATATAATCAATTGAAAATATTCAATTATAAGTGTAACTAAAGTCTCTAAAAGAGGGAGTGAAGGACACTGAAAGCTGAAAATTTTCCAAAGGTGATAAAAAGTATAAACGTGCCGAAACCAGTTTGGCTCAGTGGATAGAGCATCGGCCTGCGGACTGAAAGGTCCCAGGTTCAATTCCCGTCAAGGGCATGTACCTGAGTTGCGGGCACATCCCCAGTGGGAGGTGTGCAGGAGGCAGCTGATCGATGTTTCTCTCTCATCGATGTTTCTAACTCTCTATCTTTCTCCCTTCCTCTCTGTGAAAAATCAATAAAATATATTTTTTAAAAAAAATAAAAATAAAAAATAAATAAATAAAAAGTATAAATGTACAGATCTAAGAAACATGAAGAAAACTACACTCAGGTACATCATAATCAAACTGCTCCAAACCAAAAATAAAGAAAAAATATCTTAAAAGCAACCAGAGCTTGTTTGGAGGTTCTGCAGGGGAGCACAGCTCCTCCTATACCCTTGACCAAAGACCGGTCCTCCCCTCTTCATTCAAGCACACACGCAGCTTCGGGAGGGACACACATGATCAGTGAGGGAGGAAGGGGACACCCACCCAGCCAGGCAGATCAGCCCTGTGATGATCAATGGGGTAACAGATGTCGCAGCCAGACTGCCCTCACATCCTAACAGATAACTGACTCTTTAAAAAATAAAGTTGTGAAAATCGTTGTGAACCTTGCAGGCAGGTTAAACAAGTGTGGGGTGATCAACCCCAGATTTGATGTGTAACTCAAGATCTAGAAAATGGCGGACTAACCTGCTTCTGGCACATCAGTTTGGTTTCATTGTACTGACAACATCAGTGGGCATCACAGATGATGAAGAAGCAAGACCAAAACACACAGGAGGGAAAAGCCTGGGGTTCTTTTTCTAGGGATGTACGACATGTGCAAATAAAATGCCTCAGTGAAAATAATAATAAGTAGTGTGCAATTTTTAACATATGTAGAAATAAGACGTATGTCAACAACACAAAGACCAGAAGGGGAGAAATGAAAACAAACTCAATAAACTAAGGATGCCAAAATGGAAAGATAAAAGAAAACTCTGGTTGTTGATATTACTGCACAGCAATTGAACCAATATTAAGAGCAACTACCTACATCTCAACTTTTTAATGTCTAAAAAATCTACTTGATCACATCTTTGATAGACAAATTTATTTACAACCATAAGCATATCTAACTAATACAATATCCATAGCATAGTTAACATGTTAGTAACATTGTAAAGGATTCCAATGAAACAAATTATCAATTGTCTCCAGGAATCCAAAAAACGGACACTTACCCATGCTGGGTGTGGTTCCTCCTTCCAATAAGCCAGAACATAATTCAATCCGACTAGCACCTGTGATTAAAAAAAAAAAAATTTTTTTTTAAATTAAAAAATATTTTTAAAGGCACCAAAGGACTTGTATGCATGCATATAAGCATAACCAATGGAAACAGACACTAGGGAGGTAAGGACATGGGGTTGGGGATGGGGGGTGGGTGTGTGGCAGGGGAGAGGTCAATGGGGGGAAAAAGGAGACATATGTAAGACTATATGTAATACTTTAAACCAGGGGTCCTCAAACTTTTTAAAGAGGGGGCCAGTTCACTGTCCCTCAGACCGTTGGAGGGCCAGACTATAGTTTTAAAAAAAACTATGAACAAATTCCTATGCACACTGCACATATCTTATTTTGAAGTAGAAAAACAAAACGGGAACAAATACAATATTTGTATTTGCATGTGGCCCGCGGGCCGTAGTTTGAGGACTCCTGCAAAGAATTTTAAAACAAAGCATTACTCAAAAATTACTGCCCAAAATAAACTCTTACTAAATAGCAAACTTAATATTTTTTTCCAAATATAGAACAAAAAGTGGTAGAAATAGAGAAATCAAATTATAAAACTAAAGTAAAAGTCTATTTTTAATTCCACCTATATTCTCCAACTCACATTATGTTACTGGTAGTCAACTTTAAGTGTTAACTCAAGTTAAACTAGGTCTCTTAAAATTTTGTATTACAGTGTTGTCTCTCCATGTACAAGAAAGAGACTTAGAATAAAGAAGTTTCTAGCCTTAGCTGGTTTGGCTCAGTGGATAGAGCATCAGCCTGAGGACTGAAGGGTCCCGGGCTCAGTGCCGGTCAAGGGCACATGCCTGGTTGCAGGCTAAATCCCCAGTAGGGGGTGTGCAGGAGGCAGCCAATCAATGACTCTCATCAATGATGTTTCTATCTCTCTCTCTCTCCCTCTTCCTTCCTCTCTGAAATCAATAAAAATATATGTTTTTTAAAAAGAAGAAGTTTCTAGATTGACCACAGTGGAACTCTGGACTCTTCACTAATAAGAAAATAACCATGTTTTCCAAGAGTCTTTATTATTCTAAGCTTTAAAAAAGCATAGTTAATTTAAATAGCTTAACTCAAGGTAATCTCAAGAATAGGAAAATACTGAAAGCTAAAGAACTATCCGACTATGGGTTATGTCAAAAGATATCAGGAACTAGTTGGAAAAGGCTACTCCCTCCCAGCCTAAAATGGGACCTTTTGAGCATCAACAAAAGGAGTAACTACAGTGTGTTAAAAGACATCAAATATGTCTAAATCTAGGTTTATAATGATAAAAAAATTCACTGAAGAATAGAGAACAAACTCATTATCTCAAAAATCAGTAAATAAGGGAAAAGAAGCAAGTATTTATTCTGCCTTTCTTGTATGCCCAAACAGATGATGAGGGAAAATCTTCTTTATAGAAGTATACTACTAATAAAATGTAAACAAATGCTAACTTTAATACTGTACCATTCTGCAAACCCTGCTAAAATTATTAGATGAAAATTAACAAGCAACCTTATAAAGAATCGATTAAGCTGACAATATCTGAATCCACTGATCAATCTTAATATCACAAAATAGAAGAAACTAAGATGTTATCCTCTTAATTGATGTAACAGAGAGTAGTATAACAATGTTATCTGTAAAGTGCTTATAAGAAACTCAGATCTGAATTTGATTAAGCCTCTGGGTTAACCATAATTTTACAGGAAACATAAGAGTCTGAGGAACATATTAAATGATACTAAATATACAGTCAGCAAAAATATTCTAAAAGATGAAAACCACAGTTTCATTAACAAACTACAGGGGGGAAAAAGAATTAAAGAAGAGAAACATTGAAATAGACAAAAGACATAACAAATAACTCAAAGAACTGTAAAACAAAACAAAACTGTATGAGCTAATAGGAGAAATCTGAAAACTAACTGGGTATTTTTGATGACATTAAGAAACAAAGTTTTAAGACATGTTAGTGATCCTAAGGTTATTATTTTTTAAAATTGTCCTTTTAAAGATACATACTAAATTATTTGAGGATGAAATGACATGATGTCTCATATTTGCTCCAGAATAATCTAAGGGTGGAGGAGGGAAGGTAGTTATATAGATCAGGGGTCAGCAAACTACTATGGCTCAGAGGCCAAAGGTCCACAGTTCATTTTTGTTATGGCCTGCAAGTGGAAAAAGTTTAAAAAAAAGAACATCTTTATTGACATATAATTCACATGCCATACAATGTGCCCACTTAAAGTGTATGATTCAATGGTTTAGCATTCTCACAAAGCTTTGCAGCCATTACCGTAATCAATCTTACCACATTTTTAATCCCACCCATTAGCAGCCACTTTCCTCTCCCTCCACGTTCCTCAGTCTTAGGCCACCACTAATCCACTTCTGTCTCCATAAATTTGCTTATTCTGGACAGGTCACAAAAGTGGAATCATACACTACACGGTATTATTTTTACTATTTGTTTTCCCACTTATAATAATCTTTTAAAATTCATCTGTGCTGCAGCATGTACCAGTACTTCATTGTTTTTTATTGCCAAATTAAGAATGGTTTTTACATTTTCAAAGGATATGTTTTAAATATATATTTTTATTGATTTCAGAGAGGAAGGGAGAGGGAGAGAGAGAGATAAGACACATCAACGATCAGAGAGATAATTACTGCTTGGCTGCCTCCTGCACGGCTTGCACTGGGGATTGAGCCCGCAACCTGGACATGTGCCTGACTGGGAATCAAACTGTGACCTCCTAGTTCATAGGTCGATGCTCAACCACTGAGCCACCCAGGTCAGACTCAAAGGATTATATTTAAAAACAAAGATGATGCAGTCCTGGCCTGGTAAGTCAGTTGGTTAGAGCATCGTCTGGGTATGCCAACGTTGCAGGTTGGATCCCTACTCAGGGCACATACAAAAATCAACTAATGAATGCATAAATAAGTGAAACAACAAATTGATCTCTCTCTCTAAAACAAACAAACAAATAAATTAAAAAAATATTTTTTAAAAAAAGATGCAACAAAGACCAAATGTGGCCAGCAAAGTTGAAAATATAAACTATGGTTGCTCTACAAAAAAGTTTGTAGACACCACCACCCTCCCACCCCACTCCAACACCCAAAAGAGATGAAAGATTGGTCCTGTACTGAAAATGAGGGAAGCAAAGTAATGGGTACATGGGGATTCATTATACTATTTTCTCTATTTTGATATATGTTTGAAGTTTTCCATAATACAAAACTAAAAAACTTCCTGATCCTGAGACGCTTCCTTATTAAAGCAGTTCACAGTGCAAAAGAAATCTTAAGGTAAAAATAATGTAAAAAAAAAAAAAAAAAGATAAGCTAGAAGTCCTAATAATGAAAATGGTAACAAATCTCTTAAATCATCTTTAAATCAATTAATTTTTAAAAAATTAAATCTTTGCTAAGTTCAATAAAAAAAGATGAAGTTGATGAGTAAGCACTATTGTGGACACTAACTCAAAATGTAAACTACTAGGGAGTAAGACGAAAAAATCATAATTTTCCAGGTTTTTTAGTTGTTTTCAAAAGAATTAATAGAATCCTTCCTAATCACAAAGGCTCCCAAGGTCAGTTCACAGGATTCATTTTCAGACTCTTAAAAGGACTATAGCCCAGCTGGTGTGGCTCAGTTGTTGAGTGCTGACCCATGATCCAAGAGGTCACTGGTTCAATTCCTGGTCAGGGCACATGACCGGGTTGCAGGTTTAATCCCTAGTTGGGCACATGCAGGAGGCAGCCAATTGGTGATGTTTTTCTAGCATTGATGTTTCTATCTCTATTCCTCTCCCTTCCTCTCTCTCTAAAAATCAATAAAAAAACGTATTTTTTAAAAAAAGGACTGGAAACTGTCATTCATTCTCTAATTTTTCTTACCTCCTCTTTCTGCATTTACAGCCGACTCCACTGAATCAACACACACTTCCATGAGAAATCCATTTGCTGTTCCTAAAATACATGAAAAACAATGCAATACCATGATGGGACTATTTATCCAGATCTATCCAGCACTATAATTTTATACGTATTTTGCTGCCAAAATTCAAATGTCCATTATAGTAAAGTGTATAAGTACATAAGGGGCCATGAATACAATAAAATATCATGTTAATTATAAAACTGATGTCTTTGGACTATGAAATAAGAACACTAACATATAAAATATTATACTGAAAACAATATTTACTGAATGCCGAATTAATCTTCCTAAAACACAGACCTCATCATCACATTCCAGGTCCAGATTCTTTCAGTGCTTCTCAATGAGTGCCTGCAGAAGACGTTTAAACTTCTTTACAAGAAATATATGTTTAAGTGCTAGGATGGACCTCAAATCCTGGCCCCCTCCAAACTTGTATGATTTTAGAAAAATTACTTAGTCTAAGTTGTCTGTACAACAGAGTAGATTTTAGTACCTACCACAGAGTAGTGAAGATAAATCATGTAAAGTGATACTACCAACTAAGTGTGCAAAAAGTACTAGTTTCATTAACTACAAGGTATTTTCTCTATATGCCTCCAGTTGTCCCTAATCCTCAT